TTATATATCGGCAGGAAAGCTGCAGTAAGAAAAGTCTACCTATACGCGTATGAATACACATCAACCCACGTTGCTCAAAATTTAAGACAAAATTAAGAATGAAAAACGAAAAAATAGCATAATCAGTCGCCTTAGCCGTGGAATGCGATTTTCTTCTTCTTCAACTACCCTACTGATTCATTAATCGCTCGCCTTCATCTTCTAAGGTCAGTATTTTCGATTTTCTATAATTTTGTTTGCTCAAATCTAACATTTATTTATGCATTTTAATCGTCATTTCATGTAAATATTCCATGAAATTCCGTGTTTTTCATGGATGTATCTATGTATACACAGTGTAAGTGCGCAACGACTGAGAAGACCGCGAAAACTCGTAGGTAATCTATATTTTTATTTTTTTTAGTGATAACTGATGTTTGTTTGGACGTTTGACAAGTAAGCTTATTATGAACTACACGTAATAAGTTAAAATAAAAGATCTAGAATCGAAAAATAATTGAGCTGTGAAATACTAAATCCAGGTTTCAATTTGATACACAACATTGTTATTTTCAGAGCTGTCAGGGATACAATTCCTACTAGAAATGGAAAGGATCTAATTATTGTTGTCCAAAGCTGATTTTCGAATTTGTTCTATGTACCTTTTACAATTCTTATACCATTTGTGGACAATTGAACCAGAAAAAAGGAGGTTTCAATTTAGCTTCAGGGGTTAGGGATTGAAACCTAGAAATAGATATTTTCGCTTCCTTTTATGAGCTAGACATAAAATATTTTTCCAACACTAGCACTGAACTGTTCGAGGTAGAAAATTTCGAACAATACTAAGTGGATTCGATCAGATAAAGAAAATTAACTAGTGGGGCATTCAATGGTTTTATTTAGCATGAAGCCACTGTAAAATGTTGTTCGCTGGTAACCAACTTTTGCAATGAAATTATGTGGAAATGGATGGTTTTGGAAACAATTTGGTAGGATTTACTTGATTTAACACTTCTCATACAGGATGATTGATTTATACCTTGTATGCATTATAAACTGGGAGAAATCTTACCCAGCTCAAAAGAAATTGAGGTCATCAAATGATGAAGAAATATGGTTGAAAACAAGTTTTAAGAAGCTAGAAGTGTATAAGACTAATATAGTCGTTTCAAATAGAAGCTCAGAAGTTTTGACACAAGATACATGAGATAAATGTAGGAAGTATTATAAAACACAGTAGAGGAGCTTGTTCACTTTCCGATTTGGAGGATTTCCATATAGTTTCACAGAGACACATATTTTTGTGCATTGTTTAATTCTAGCTGTAATTTGTTGTGTGATATACTCTGTTGTACAAATTGGCTATCATCCTATATCAACAGGGTGCTGGAATATGCAACTTTAGTTGTATGCAAAGGTTTAGAAGTCTGTCATAATGGCCTCAAGAGCAATATTGCGAAGGAAAAAGTTTCTTTTAGACTCCCTTAATCAGCACAATTGCTTGGTTCGAGGGTTTTCAAGTTTTGATCATGGAAGTTCATATTGGGTTCCTTCTTCACGGAAGAGCTGGGTGGTGAGCTATTCATCTTCAAGTACCAATCATGTCAATGAAGAGGATTCACATTCTCTAAGCATTGATGAAGCTAGAAGTACTTTGACAAAAGAATTTCTTAGGCGTAATTTTTCTGGTATTCCAACTTTGGGCTGCGGAATTGGAAGATCAGGTGTTCTTTCCCCATTGGGAGCCAGGTGGACTATAGATTATGCACGCTATGTTTCCACTGCTGCAGCAGGTCAGCCCGAATTAGGAGGTAGTGGTGACGATAAAAATGAAGAACCAGCCATGAAGCAGAAAAAGGAAGCTTCACCAGAAGAATGTGACCAGGCAGTTGAAGGTTTAAGCACTGTCAAAGCCAAAGCCAAAGCCAAGCAGCTGCAAGATTCCCAGAAGGGTGCTAAACCTGTACTGAAGAGAATGTGGGCTATGCTTTTAGGGATTGGTCCTGCTTTAAGGGCTGTTGCTTCAATGAGCAGGTATACTTTTGTGTTTTTCTTTTTGGTGTCAGGAGACATTTCTAGGATCTCTTTTTCTTAGTCTCTGCTCTCCTTAATTCAGGGAGGATTGGGCAAAAAAGTTGAGGCACTGGAAGGATGAGTTTAAATCCACAATGCAGCACTACTGGTTGGGTACGAAACTACTTTGGGCTGATGTGAGAATAAGTTCAAGGCTATTGTTAAAACTTGCTAGTGGGAAGACTCTTTCCAGGAGGGAGAGGCAACAACTGACGCGAACAACAGCCGACATTTTTAGGCTAGTTCCTGTTGCAGTTTTTATTATTGTTCCATTCATGGAGTTCTTGCTGCCAGTTTTCCTGAAATTGTTTCCCAAAATCAATTTATTTATTCTGTTTCCCAGCAGTCCCTGAGCTTTAAAACTTTTTCAAATATAATCACTATAAATTTTTTTCCTAACCATCACTTTACTTTTAATTTTTACTGAACTTTAAACTAAGTTTCACATTTGTCACCGCAAATCGTTTGAAAATTTAAAGATTTTGTTTTGTCATGTTATCAAAATCGTTAATTTGCAAATGAAATGAGACAAAATGATGCATAGAAAATAATGCTAAAAGCTATATTGGGTCCTCAAAAAAAATACTTTAAGCCCGTATTTGACACTCATTAAAACAAAACTTTTTTTTTTCTCAAATTCATTTTCAATTACACATTCTCAAAATTAAATATTCTGCATGTAAATTCAAAACATTTTCCTACATTGTAGTCACACATCCTCCAAAAAAATCACTATTCAAAAATTCATTTTCTCAAAACAACTCATTTTAATGGTTGTCAAACGCAGTCTAAGTTTAATAACGGTTGACAGGGTCAAGAATGTTGTGCTCTTCATTCGTGTGGCAAAAAGCAGTTGAGCTCGAAAAAAAATTTGCTAAAATTTAAAATGACTTTCTTTGAGAAAGAAGCAAAGCCAAACATGCTCGGTCACCGTAGCTAATAGAATAGACCTCAGAACCACCGTATAAACTCTCATACCAATTTACGTCTGTTATGGACCTTATGGTCCTTTTCTTATTTCCTTTTCATTAAATAATTCTATGGACAACAAATTACTGAAAGATACAATAATTGATTGATTAATAAATAAAAAGAAAATTAAATAACATACTAACCAAAAGTTTCAAGAATTCAACTAATTTTCTTGTTCACAAGTCACAGTTGGCAGAAAGGAATAACCAAAAAAGAGACAGCCAAGAAATATCACAACAGGGTACAAAAGAAATTTTACGACGTGTTTGGTACAGAGTATGATACGATGGATAGTATCATCAATAAGGAAGTTACAATCTTGTTATTATACTGTACAAACGTGCGTGTCCACTACTACCTAATATGCACCTAATATTTGAGCTAAATGATTGGTATGAAGTCATTATGAGTAAAAGATTTATCGAGAAAATAGGATAAACCAGATGCAAAGCTTCCACTTTCACAATCTATTGCTTTAAGAGCTTCCACCTATTCTGTAAAATGGATCTTGTTGCTCACTCTCTTGATAAAACTCAGCTCTGATAATTTATACCGCAACAGATTTTATATGGTACAGCATTAATCAGAAGTTATTCGTCAAAACTTGAAAATTACACATCACTCAATTACTGTGCTGTGTTTAGTAATGTCAAAACCAAACAGAGCACAACCTTATGACTGAAAATTTGAACCAAATATTCATCTTACATGATCATTACCAGCATAAGACCTTCAGCGACATAGATGTAGCGCTGGAACAATAAGACAGCAGGGGGAATCTGATGGTCCTTCCCCATTTCCTTCACAAAATCTCTCTTCTTTGTTTTATGTCTACCTGGTCAGAAAGCTTAGGTCTTGGAAGATTTCAAAAGCAACATCCAGCATCTTCCATTGGAGAATTATAGGAAAGTCTAACATTATCTCTTTCCCAGTAGAGCAATTTTCCTGCAGGAACAATTAGTACAACAGGGATCTTTCATCTGCAATTGAACTAAGTGAATTACTAATGAACTGTCTGCATGCAAGAACTTTAGACAACATGAGGGATCCAGTGAGAACCTTCATAATTAGCTTACATTAAGTCCAAACTGACATGGTTTTTACTTTAAAATTGATTCCTAAGCCCAAAATTTCATTTCATTTTTGGAAAATCCACTAGGTTCACTCTTTCATTAATTCATTACATCACATTTTCTGTTTCTAGATTATTATTCAATTCCTATGTGGATTTGCAGATATATGGAAGCTAAGAACAATATATCTTCTATCTTAAATTATTTTGCAGTTCCATCTCTTCTAATTTTCAATCAATCTAAAAGGCAAGAACTCCATGACCCATCCTGTTAATAGTTTGTAAATACCTTTAAAAACTAAACATGCATAGCTTTCTTAAACCAGCAGTCTTGGAATATTCAAAAACTTTAAAACCGGCCAACATATATTGAAAAACCCTCCGGTGTGGAAGCATGTTTCTAATTTGGCACTTTGAAACTAAGGGAAGAAGCATGGATCAGGGCATGACATAACTTGATAGGGCTGGACAAAACTCTTGAATCGAATCGGATCAATCAGGATCCAAATCGAGCTATTCTTTTTAAATTAAATACCCGAACGGATATCTGAATTGAGAATCGAATGGTTCAGTTCATTTCGGTTCTCGGTTCCAGACCAAAGAACCGAATAAGAATCGAATCTCCCTTGTTTTTAAATTTATTTATCTTAAATAACCCAAATTATTTTATTTTTTCTAAATTAATTTGTTAATAAATTTGCTAACAAATTAATTTATCTCAAACCCAAAATATAATTTTTCTATTTCTAATGTTCAGCACAATCCCAACTTAATCAAATTGACATAAGTTTTATCTAAATCTATTATTTTACAATAGTGTTATTTCTAAAGTTTTGGAAAAATCGAATTGGAAGCTTGGCTACGCCTCTCTTCATTATTGTAAGTTTGCTATATTCCCCTTTCTGTAACTTTAACAATCAAATCTATGAAAAACTCAACAAAGATATGCACAAATAATACATAAAATTGGACTATGTTATTTTGTAAAAGTTATGATCGAACATATTATTAGTTGAATTAATGTAGTGTTTTTGTAAATATTAAGAAAATTTAATTACTAAATGGAACTCATGAACCAAATGGAACCGAACCGAATAGAACCAAATCCATACGATTTTTATAATTAATTTTGAACCCAATGGTTCTACTTGCCAAACATCGGACAATTTGGGTTTGGTTCGATTCTCTTTAGAACCAACGAATCGAACATAAATTGGACCATGTCCAGCCCTACAACTTGAGCATGCCAACACAGGATTTTCAAAAAAGTAGGACATTGACATGTCGATTTAATTCTTTAAAGTTATACATATGTGTGTTATATTTTTATTTCTCTACTTTTCTAGTTTTCAATAGAATCAAAACTTTTCTTTTAATTTGGATTTTTGTAGGTGAAATATTTTGAATAAGAGTGGCGATTGGTTATATTTAGGTAATTATGGGTTAAACTCTATCCAATGCATGAAAGAAAATATATATGATAAATATAAAACCAATTTAGCCCCTGTTTGAGCCACATTTTTACCTCATTAAAATGAAAAATATGACCGTTATCCATCACATCAAGTCACCATTTTTGAATTTCTATCTCTGGTGTGGGGCCCATAACGGCTCTATTTCTCATTATAATGTGGCTCAAACATGCTCATTATTATTATTATTATTATTATTTATATTTATGACAACGCCATATTAATTCAACTATAATATGTTCAATCTTAGCTTTTACAAAATAACTTAGTCCAATCCCGTGATATCTTTTGTACCTTTCTTTGTTGAGTTCATAGATTTGACTCTTAAAATCACAAGAATAAAGAGATAGCAAGTTCACAATAATGAAGAGGCACAATTGAGCTTCCAATTCGATTTCACCAAAACAGTAGCAATTGTAGAATAAGAGATTTTTGGTAAAAGTTAAGTCAATTTGATTAAGTTGGGCTTGGTTGAAAATTAGAAATAGGAAAATCATATTTTGGGTTTGGGTTAATTAATTAGCAAATTTATTTAAAAAATAAAATAATTTTGACGGAGATTCGGTTCTTGGTCTAGAACCGAGAATTGAACTGAACTCGTCGGTTCTCGATTTAGATACTCGTTTGGATATTTAATTTAAGAAAAACGGCTCAATTTGGTTCTGTTCAATTCAATCTGATTGGTTTGAGAGTTTTGTCCAGCCTAGTTCTAGAAAAATAATATTTTTCCTAAGATCAACCACATAATTAGTTATGGTACACCTATTTCTTTTTATGTGACTCTGATTCTGTGTTGGTGGATCAATGAGGAAAAGGAGAGTAGCTCCAGATCTTGCTATGTGTATAACTATTTTTAACATTATTGTGCTCTTTCCTGGAATTATAATGAAGTTGCAGTAAGATTTGTTTTCGTGGAGGGCCATAGGTTTGTAAACACTTGAATATACTCAAAATTATACTTAGACTGAGAAAACTCCTCTTGGAAATGAATATTTTCCTGGGTTGCCCTTCCTTTTTAGCCTTATGATTGACACGTTTAAATTCTCTCCTTGCGCATAACTGCAACCTACATATTGATGCTACTATGAACAAATTGACGCACTCCCCTTCATTTTGTTGATAATCTAGTTTCAGGTTTGTGTTGTAACAATTTTATATCTTTCTCAACCAGCAAGATGAATTTATTCTGTTGATATGCCCTTTTGATAAATTGTGGATTTCTATTTCAATACTTCGTGTTTTGTTTCTGCAGCTGCGAGATTGGCTGGACTTATCTCTCAACCATTCAGTACCGTCTTCTTTGTTAATTCTTTCTAGGTAACCTAAAAATTTCCTCTGTCTGCATGACTTCGAGTTATTAAACAGTAGGTAAACTTCTTTTCGTGTTCTGTCACCCTCTTCCAGAGCTTTCAGTGTGTCTGGTAAAGTGAAGCCAGAGGAAGCTGTTCAAGCTACACTCTCCTCACTGCCCGATGAAGTGGTGGACACTGTAGGAGTTACAGCTTTACCATCTGAAGATTCTGTTTCAGAAAGGAGGAGGAAGTTAGAGTTCCTAGAAATGCAAGAAGAACTAATCAAGGTTTGGATTTTGTTTGCTTTCTCTTTTAATGGACTCTTATGAAAAGAGATATGGTTTCAGTAAATAAACTGTTGAATTGAAAAATTGACAGCTCAAAAATCTGATCTCAATTTATTTGATAACAGTGGGTTGTTATGTCCTCTCACAGCATAGTACCCTTCAAGTACTTAATACCTTTTGTGCTCTTCAAGTGCTCAAGTTGCTGAAAATATTTTTGACAAAACTGAAAAAAGTTTTGGACTTTGATCAACAGATATTTTTAACTACTGTGCATATGATGAAACAGGACCGAAAATTCTCACTGCCTTGCCTATGTTAGATCTAGATTTACTGTATGGACATTGCAGTTCTTGAGACCTCTCATAGATTATTATATCCCTGAAAATGCCGCATTAGGGCTTGTCCAAGTAGCAATCCCCATCCCAGCAATCCTTAGTAATTCACGCCTATCTTTAACATATGTATTTCTTCAGCGTCATATTTTATATGAAATAATGAGTTAAAAGCACTGTGCCGCAACTGTCCATGTCCAAAATATGTTGACAATGTTGAAAGTTTGCTCAGTACGAGTTTCCTTTTATTTGGTAAATTTTTATTCTAGCAGTTCAGAATTTCGCCTTTATCTTGCTTTTTAGTTAGTAAACTTAAATTTGTTGATTAAAGGAGGAGGAAGAGAAAGAGGAAGAGGAGCAAGCTAGGTTGAAGGAATCTGCTTCAAGGCAGAAGGATGTGGCTTTGGAAGAGATGATGACTGCAACGGCTAAAGAAGCAAAAGAAAGAGAATCAGAAAAATCTTTGGACAAGCAAGAGCAACTTTGTGAGCTAAGTCGTGCATTGGCTGTTTTAGCATCAGCATCTGTAAGAATTGAGTGCGAGCTGTTCATAGTTTACATATTCCTTAAGTGTTAATATTCCATAAAAATACTTGCTTGGCTGCTTTCAGTCTGTGAGCAGGGAGCGGGAGGAGTTCTTGAGACTTGTCAATAAAGAGGTAATAATATATAACATTTTGTTGTAACGGATTTATGCAGTAGCCTAAATTTAAAGCCTAGGAGGAGGCAAATAGGCCATTATTTGTGCTGTAGCCATTTTGAACGAGATTGGCGGTTGCTAATATTTTAGAGTTGGTTTTTTAACACCCTTCATTCCTTATTTCTTTTAGTCTTGTCTAATTGCATATTCATCTTTTCCCCCAATTTTTCAATTATTTTTTCGGTCACATCCGTTAATCCCAACCTGTTCCTGGATCCTTCACCCTTCTTCCTTACATTTGCATTCTGTGTGGTTTATAGATGTCCCATGTTCTTTATTTGTGACATCTATGGCAGTTCTGTAGGACCACTCAGTGAGCTCAGGATGTATATTTCATCAACCAATTCATTCTTTGACTTTCCCATAGTTGTCGGTTTTCTTCCATATTCACCCTAATCAAATGAAGTAATGCCTTATCTGTTACTTTTAGTTAATGTCTACCTGCACAGAATTATGTTCATGGATGTCAAGCTATTGGATTTAATCCTGTAACTATAGTTGCCACACGTAGTTTTGTGGTTAGAGAATCATTTAAGCGACATCAGTATGTCTGAGTCCAAATCATAAATAATTTTTTGTTGACTTCTATAATTTGTCTTGGGTTATTTTGTGGATGGCTTTTTCAATCGACAATTATTAACTTCTTCATTCTCACTCTTAATATCTTACAATGCCTTCCACTTTCTTTCCTTACCACTTGGACTAAAGTTCGAAACAACAACATGTGTTGTTTCAAGTTAACATGTTGTTACAATTGTTTTTTGGGGGCACCCTGTGGCTTTCAGGAATGTTATGAATGTGGTTGTTTTGCTCAACTCATCTACATTATGCACAGCATGTCTTGAGCATATATCTAAGTGGCATCTGCCAGGTGAGCGCTTGAGTCGCGTTATGTTTATTGGTAATATTTTATTTGCAGGTAGAGTTGTACAATAGCATAGTGGAGAAAGAGGGTACGGACGGAGAAGAAGAAGCCAGAAAGGCATATAAAGCTGCAAGAGAGGACAGTGGCCGAGCTGATGAGCAAGCTGCGGGCGACAAAGTTTCTTCAGCTCTAATAGACAGGGTTAGACACTTTCAGACAATCTGGATTTGCTACTTCAATCTACTATGCATTGCCTTCCAGTTTAGAAGCCAGTTACCATTTGGATTGAGATGTATGCAATATATAGATGATTAGTCATATGTTAATTGGGATTTCCTCTTTTTAGGTTGATGCTATGCTCCAAAAGCTTGAACAAGAGATTGACGATGTGGATGCAAAAATTGGCGATCGATGGCGATTGCTTGACAGGTACAATTTGGAGTTTGCAGTAGTTGGATTTGAGTATTTTATTCAACATACAAGTTTGATAAATGGATATGTAATTCTAAGAATTTGATTCTTCATGTTAGTTCATACAGCGTTCAAATTCCTGATGATTTTGGTTGTCATTCACAAGCTCTATGACCACCCACCTGGGCAAAGGGATGTTCTACAATATTTTATTTCTAATTGAAGGCTACATAAGTAAAAATTCACATTAAAATTGAAGCACTTGATGAAAGATGTTCATGACATCTTGACAGAAAAATGAATAGTGTTACATTGATGTTTCTTCCAGCTCAAACCAATTGTGGCATACGGTTTACATATTGTGCTTTTTATTTAATTTGTTTTCCATCTATCTACCTATTGGTGTGATGAAAAACTCCCGGAAATAATTGGGTTCCATACTTTTATGGGCGCAGGGATTATGATGGCAAAGTAACTCCGGAAGAGGTGGCATCTGCTGCTATGTACCTGAAGGACACCTTGGACAAGGAGGGTATACAAGAACTCATTGGCAACCTTTCCAAAGATAGAGGTTGCTCACTCCTCTATGTTTTCTCATTCTGGTTCTATCATATTTTGCTTAATGAAATATATGCTTGGAACTTATGCTAACCTGTGAATTCTTGTATTATCTGTGGAACTGGACAGTGTGATGAATGGAGTTTTAGTTCTTTTTCTCTACTTAATACTGTCCAGTACTATGCAATCATCTCTGACAACGTGCTATTCAATGTCTTTTGTTTCTTTTCCTGGAGATGCACTAGAATTATCTAATGATGTTCAAAAGACTTTGTTGCTGGCTTGTGAAACTCAAGATGTGACAGCTATTTTAACATTGTTGCTAAAAATCAGGTTATATTGTTGAAGGAAATAGAATTAGTGTCATTATGAAAACGTGATCATATTCCAACTGCTCACTAGGATTGAATTCTGCTCTGGAATAAAGCTTCTTTGCCAGAATGATTTGACAAGAAGTTTGACATAATTGCATGTGGCAATTAATAATTGGATGAAAAAGTTGACCGTGTTTTAAACTGTCCATTGATAGAATGTCTCGTTGCATTATGTCAAACTTTATGCCAACCTTGACGTTAATGTAGCATGATTGTTCTACTCTGTTATGCTTCTTAAATGTAACTGTAGCTCTTATTTTTCCTTGTCATTGCTGTCCCAGATTACTCTAAAAGTTTATAATACCCCTTTGATTTGATGTTTCTGCTTGCAGAAGGAAAGATTCTTGTGGAAGATATTATCAAATTAGCCAATCAGACAGAAGACGTCGAAACAGCTGAAGCAGGGAAGCCATAATACCTTTTTCAGTTGACAATAATATTTTTCTATGGTTCAATCTGAACTTTAACTCGAGATTGAGTTTTCGACTTGGGTTTTGCCCTTAGCAAAGAAAGTGATGCTTCTTTAAAACCTTTCATAGAATAATTTGCTATTATTGGCTTGATTTTGATAATAGAAGAATTAATGTTGTGAGCATACCTGAATACCAGTTTTGTAGCCGTTATGTTCCTGTATATGACATGAGATCGAAAATTTACGGTTATTGAGAAATAAGATACTAGTCATCATATTAGAATTGAATTGTGTGTGTTTTCCTCTTTTGGAACATTCTGGATGCATTGTTTCTCGTTGTTATGGTCGAGAACAAGAAAAACTTTGTTGTATTTCTTTTTATTTGCGACCCAAGTATTATATACTAGTCTACTATGTGTTTCATAGATCTTGCTTTTACACGAAACTGAATAAGGTTGTCCCGAAATTAATTGTTTGGATTGGTGGAGGTTAATATGCGGGAGGTACGTTTTGTAAGGTGTATGGTAAAGTTTTGAATTTGGGATGAATGAAATTTAAAATTAAATTTGGTCAACCGAAAAGTTAGTCTAATCTTTTTAGATACTACGTATCAACAGTGTGTTTGGTGTAGAGTGAAACAATAGATATTTTTATCTGTACTGAAAAGTGGAAAATATTTTTACTGGATACTATTAATAACTGTAATATAATTAAAGCCTCAAGGGTCAAGTATAAATTCGTGTTGGAAGGACGATAGCTGTCACCCAACGTGGGTCATTTAATCTCGGGTCAGGGCCAGCCCCTTTTATCAGTGGTCGGGCCTTATTCAGCTGTTTTAATGCACAAGCAACGTTTTTTAAAATACCAGAAATATTTTTCAAGAAAGTACCATTGTTATTATTTTTAAAAATATTAGCTCCTCTAGGAGGTAGTTTCAACCTTGCTGGCAGTCGCAGTGTGAGGGTTCGATTCCTAAGATATGAAATTGGACTCTTTGTGGGTACCAGTGTACGGACAAGCTTTTATTTCCTGAACTTAAGATTGGGGTTCAACCTTTTAAAAAAAATATTAATAGGGTTGGTGGGCCCATTCCATGTGATGTACTGACCAACCATGTCTTATATGACTCTGGGCCCTCTGACCTCTGCATATAGATGGGCTCCCGGCCCATTGCCACCATTATAATGTTTGGAAAAATTGCATTATAGGTCTCTAACTTATAATTTAAATAAAAGTTAAGTCTTTAAGTTAAAAAATAAAATCAATCTTTCATCGTATCAATCTTAAGTCCCAACTATATGAACTTACTAAACTTTTTCAAAGTTACGTGCTAATTTAGTACTTGAATAATACATAAAGAACTGTTAGTGAAACTTTTATTTGCATGCTGAATAAAATGGGAAAAAAGGGGGAAAAAAAAGAATGATTTAAGAAACAGAAAAGAGAAAAATGTTAACATTAATCTAGAGAGCAAGAAGCCAATCGGACCTTGACCAAGCCCGGCCCTTAAAGAGATATCATTTTCCCTTTAAATTTTACTTCAGAATGAGTGCGTTTGATTATGAGTAAATAATTTGCATGGAAAAAAATAAATTATAGATAATTCAATTCTTAGAACTTATTTATACAAAATTATTAATTAAATGTGTTTGATTGATTTATTTTCAATCTAAAAAATGATATACTTTTCTATTTTTTTTTATTTGTTTATAGATGAGAAAGGGATAAATGAGAGAAAAAAAGAAAAGTGAATTATTTGAAATATAAAAACCATCTTGCCTGGAGAAAAATTTTCCCTTATTTTTGGAAAAAATATAATGACATGATCAAAAGCTGAATTTTTTTTTTATGAATAAAATTATCAATCAAACACTTTAAATAGTAAAAATTTGAAAGAAAAATAAAGCCTCTTTAAAAAAGGCGAAAAAAAAAGAAGGAAAAAAAGAAAGGTCTGCGACTCTATTAAAATAATTGGTTCCTACTGCTTACGCCCTTCGGTCGTAACTCTCTAGATTCCGATCTGTTCCAAAAGAAATAATTCACAATTCCACCAATGACCATGGATCACTCCGACCTCACAACCGAGCAGGTACATACTTACACAACTTATATATCTGATTCTGAATACATTTTTTACAGGAATTTTCCTGAATCAATTGCAGTGATATTTGCAAAATTGTTGAAAACCTATTCGTATTTCGCCTTCATTGATTAAGTAATCAGAAACGACTCTGTATTTACTGTAGTGGTTACTTATTCGGCTTGTTCTGTTCTGAAACATGATTGATTTTTTGGTGATTTGAAGGTTTTAAGGAGGGATATTCCATGGGAGACTTACATGAGTACTAAGTTGATAACTGGAACAGGGCTTCAGCTGTTGAGGCGATATGATAAGAAACCCGAGAATTACAAGGCTCAGTTGCTGGACGATGTAAAAAAATTTACTGTTACTTTCTTCCTTGTTTATTGGAATATAATTAATGATTTATCACTGCCGTGGAATATTAACTTGATGCATGTTTCTCGATTATTTTAAATGCTGTCGTGATTTTCTGTGCATTATGATTGCAATATTTGTAGAAAGGAAAGTACAAAGGTGAGAAAAATGTTATTTGTCTTCTTTTTGTTGGGCCATTGGGAACATAAAAAGAGTAACGTGGAATATCAGCAAGGATAAAATAAATTGTCAAGCTCTTGAAATACTTCCACCCATACGAGTTTGAACCTTGAAGGTGCAAAGACAATGGAAGCTTATTCTGCTACAACGGGTTTATCCTCTTTTGCCTCTTCTAATAGCTGTGCAATGCGACATTTCTTTTCACTTTTCAAAATTTTGAATTACATTTATCTGGGGAAGCTTCTCGAGGAAAATTGTGGAAATCCAATTTTCCTCATTTTCGTTTCTTGTCCATATCCTTTGTTAAATCAAAGATTCAAATGAAGGTTTTCACATTTCAGGATGGATTGAATTCATAAAAAAGCAATTCAAATCTCATAGAATTAATTTTACAACAGACATAACATTAATCTTATTACTAGTTCTCAATCCTTTCTCTAAAGTATGTACCTCTTCAAATTCAAGCTATTTCCAATATTTCCTTCTATCAGTTGCATTTGCTAGCAATGCATCAATAGATTAATTTCTGATGGAATTGGAGCAATTTGATTAATTTCACATTACTTTGAGCCAGTTGTACACATCTGGCCTCTCCCCAGCCAATGTACACGAGCATATTAATTATCTTCAGTCATCTGCTGCACGATTAATGTGGTACAGTGTATGAATGCATTCTCAATGGTGCTAAGGATGATGGCTTTTTTATTCTCATCAGATGTATTGAGCTGGCTTTGATAGATAATTTGAGCTAAATGACTAGTGGGAAAAAATTGTTACAGGATGGTCCATCATACATTCGGGTACTTGTTAGCATTTTGCGCGACATATTCAAGGAAGAAACTGTAGAATATGTTCTGGCCTTGATAGATGAAATGCTTACTGGTAAGCAATAGAGGTATTAGCTTTTTAATTTTTTGTTACTGTTTTACAGAACTCATATGTTTTTCATACCTGTGGCAGCAAACCCAACAAGAGCAAGGCTGTTTCATGACACATCTCTTGCAAACGAAGATACATACGAGCCTTTCCTAAGGCAAGCAATCTTTATTGTTTTGTAAATTTTAGCTGCCTATGTTTATCTGGATGTAACAATATCTGTTGCTATTCACTTGAAGTTTTTTATATAGAGCTCTAGCTTTTTCCTCATCTATATCTACAGCTTCCGACACCCTCAGTCCCAAATAAACAATAAACAACAGGAAAACTAAGTTGTATTCACCATCAAATTTTTTTGTGGGCTATTTAAATGATTTCTAGTACTTTACTTGATCTGGCTCTATATCCACCAAAAGTTCTAATTGAACAATCTTTTGTGACCATGTTAAACAAGGTCAATTTCATTCTATCACTCACAGTTCTGCCTTGTCCAGCTTTATCACATAACATGAACCTTTCAATACCCTTCCCCACCAAAGTAAGAAAAAGAAAAAGAAAAAATGAGGAGAAAAGAAAAGAAAGAAATAAAGAAAGGTAAAGAGTTATATACTTTAAGTTATATACTCTTGAATGGTCATTGAATCTGATGTTGTAAGTAGATTAAGCTGTTCTTCTTGACACGTATCTAGTACTTTCAGTTCATCAAAGCTAGTACTTCTCCTAACTTCCCTTGATGATAAACATGCACCCTCTTTTCTTTTCCAGATTGCTTTGGAAAGGTAACTGGTTTATTCAAGAGAAGAGCTGTAAGATACTTTCTCTGATAGTAAGGTACGAAAAATATCCTCCCTTGTTAATGGTGTTTAATGCTAATTACATTTGTTGTCCTGCTTCTGTGTAACAATCCTGTTTTGGCAATTACAGTGCAAGGCCCAAGCCTCAGGATGCAGCCATTGCAAATGGGTCCTCAAAATCGAAGGAACTCACTACTATTGATGATGTCCTAAAAGGACTTGTGGAGTGGCTTTGCACACAGGTCTGTACTAAGATTTGCATTATGTTTTTGGATTCGTCCAATAAATGTTTGAAGGGATTTATCAGGTCTTGTAGATATAACTAAAGGAATCTTAAAAGCCTTTTTAACATAGGAAAGCTAATTAGCAGTTTTAGGGAACTGTATTATGAATGTCAAACGCCTGAAATTTATAGGGTCGATCAAAAATTAACTAAAGAAACAAAAACAGATAAAAGTGTAGAAATGCCTTTTGAGGGGAAAATTGTTTAAATTATTAAAGATTTTAGGTTATAGCAAGTGGAAAAATGACAAGGCTTAGGTAAAAGAAGAAATACGCTCTTGATAAAATACAGACCTAGTCCATTTAAACTATAAGTTGTCAAATCTATTAGTCTAATTCACTGCTTCCTATGGGAGACAAAATCTGATAAAACAACTGAGAGTGTACATGGAATATCCATTATCTACTTTTGCTCTCGTGGTGCATGGATGCAGTGATAAAGGTGCAAGTTACTATAACAAGCAAAGTAAACTAAAGTTCTAGTTGGTCCTTTGGACCTTCAAAGTTTTAGGCTTAATCTAGTTTCTTTCAACATGTAGGGTATACTAGTGAATAATAAAATATCTTGGCTATCAGAATAAAGACAATGCATGTCTCTATTTTATATTTCTTGGAGAATTAGTCACTGGCAAAAGTTTAAGAATTTGATCTCAAATAACGTTGACACAAGACCATCTGGTGTCTAATCTAAAAATGCACAAGGTGTAGAGTATGCTCAA